TTAAAGTACGTATACTGGAAGAACAGACAACAGGGTTGTCATTGATAGCTTTTCTGAAGAAATACTTGACCGACGAATCTAAGAATAGAGGGAGGGCTTAAATGTACTAAACAGCGCGATTTCATACATCTATTGCACAATGGTCTTAGTATGGACAATCTGAAGGCATTCAAAAAAATTAACAGGCCGAAGAAACCCTGTCTACCTTCTTGCTACATTTTGCTGATGTAATTACAGTTATAAAAAAACGAATACAATTAAATCTATTACTAGCAGAAGGGTGATAGTGGTCAACTTCATATTCCCTGCTACATTTCTACATCTCACTTTGTTTTAATGCATTAATGTTCTCTGGTGATCAGAATTTGAATAAATCTTATTGCATTGAAGAAAATCAGCATACCTACCACTTTGCATACAGTTCACACAAGTTTTCCTTTTGCTGAGCCTAGAATTTTTTTATTTCAGTAACCTTATTACAGTCAGAAGGCTTTTAGAATATTTGAATAATTTCCTCTTGTACAGACAGTCTGTGTAGAACTGCGTAGACATCCATCCATTTTACTGTCGGCATCTGAATAACCCTTACTGTCGCGTATGAGACTTTTAGACATGAGGTAACTAACTCTGTGCTTCTAAAAGACATAATTTAATGCAATTTTACCAAGTGCTTTGGTTAGACAGAGGTAAAATGCTGACCGGTCAATCAGGTCGTTCAGGTTCGATTCCTGGCCGACAAACTTCTACACTCGATCTAACTGGTCGTAAACATAGAAAAGATGGAAAGTTAGGCATGAGAATAGAAACCTTCCCGCACAGAAATAAAAAGATGGCAGCATCAATACTGAAGCTAAATAAAAAGTTTGAAGCCTTACTGATATAAGTAAAAATTTCGGGCACTGTGGCGGTAGAGTATAACTCCATTATGGATAAGATTTTATTTTGATAAAATCACACAGTGTTGTTATACAGTAATATTAACTGATGACCACCTTTCGACCACAAATTATTACTGCTCATAACCAGACAACTTTCTAGCTTCATTTATATACATGAGTGACATTGATTAGATATTTGAATAAAAATCAATATAAGATAAGATTATCAGAATAGAAGAATTTAGCGAAGGTAAGAATGGTTGACCCTACCCGAGAAGATAAGTAATTTAGAAGACACCTTGGCAATCGCACTACATGCATTTACACACAACCACGCAATAGGGTGTGAAGGAGAGGGTTAAAATTCTAAGAAGTAATCTATGTAGGTTGAGAGAGAAATTGATTACTGAATACTGGTTCATCCAGTCTACACTCAACACAACACATACAACAGAAATGACTCAACGCGAATACCAGAGATTTGGAAGATATTATTACCACCAGTCAGTCAAATCACAGGAGGATAGTAAATAATCTTAAAATTCTATTTCAATTCACATACATTAATTATAACATTCTAACAAGTTACTTATTTATTTGACTATAAAAACACTCGTCTTATTTCCCATCTGATTGTATTTGATTGATAACACTCATATTATTATTTCTGAATGTACTTTATCTAAAATTGATTTTTATTCAAATGTCTAATCATCAATTCCACTAAAGTACATAAATGAAGTAAAATGTTGTATGAGTAGTGTCTTGATATCATCATGAGCGGTAATAACTTGTACTCGAAATGTGGTCATCAGTTAATATTACTGTACAACACTGGAACTCATGTCCTTTCTGAGATTCGAACCCGCGTCACCCGGTACTGTCTGCAGTCAGAGACGTTAACAATGAGCTATTCGCGCTAGCGATAGACCTCCTGCAGGACTGTATTGGATACTTTGATTGGACACTAGTAGCTAGTGTGATGTGTCTAGTCCTTACTTTGGTCAAGACTGAATTCTATCAGTCAAGTTTGCAATGTGGCCAACATTCTAGGTAACCCGCCAATACGGTGCACATTGATTTGATGATATTAGACAGTTGGAGGCAATCGGCCACAGAGAGCCTTCCCTGACCTAGGTTTCGTGCTAGTTGGCACTGATAGAACTCAGTCCGCACCAAAGTAAAGACTAGACACATTACACTAGTTATTAACTAATATCCAATCAGAAATATCCAATAAAGTCCTACAGCAGGTCAATCGCGAGTCCGAAAAGTTCAGCGGTAACGTCTCTAACTGTAGTGGCAGAAGACTGGCAAATCATGTAAGCGGTTCAAATTTAGATCCCCAGCCAGCGCACTCCTTATCCTCACTTAACGCGACAGTAACTCCAGTGAGGAGGTGGATAGCGACCCTACCCAAAGAAAAATAAACTCCACTGCTTTCATTAGACACTAGTAACTAGTGTGATGTGTCTAGTCCTTTCTTTGCTCCAGACTGAATTCTATCAGTCAGGTTAGCACTGTGGCTATCATTCTAGGTGGCTCGCCATCATGGTTCATATTGAATAGTTGGTATTATATGTTTGGAGGCAATTGGCAGGAAGCCTTGAACCAGTAGTGAAGTCAGAGATGATGCGGGTTCGAATCTCAGAAGGGACAAGAGTCCCTTCAAGGCAGTTGCAGATACGCCTTGCTGACTGGTGAGTGCCACTGGTGAGAGCACGAAACCTAGGTCTAGTCAAGGCTTACTGTGGCCGATCGCCTCCAACCATCTAATATCATCAAATCAATGTGCACCGTATTGGCGAGTTACCTAGAATGTTGGCTACATTGCAAACCTGATTGAAAGAATTCAGTCTGGACCAAAGTAAGGACTAGAGACATCCCACTAGTTATTAGTGTCCAATCAAAATACCAGCCTATAGTATTATGGTAATACAAAGAGAAAAAACTCGTTGAAGACGTTACTCTTCACTCTGAATTAATGGATAGAGAAATCAAATTTTTCCACCTCATCAGCCATCATACAACAACTGTATAACTTATAATTAGAAACCATTCATGACAATCACTAGTGTTTAGCTAGCAAGATTAAAGTGTCATCAAAACACCCAAAAAAGGTTTTGTTTTGAGTTCATTTGAGGCTAAGCAGATAAATAATGAAAATAGTCATCTGATAGTTTAAATCGTTTCATCAGTCTGACTACCAAGACACACCTGACTGATGTAATTGGCCTCTAACTTCTCAAATACAATAATCAATAGTATGTCATCAGGCATAATTCAATTCTAACTTAGTCGATAGTTTAAAATCCCTTATAAACAACACAAAATTCCATTACTTATTATTCTATTGTTAAAATTTGTAGAAAAATAGTAAAAATTTGATAGAAAAAAACCCTATAGAAATACATGTTTCATAAAGAAACCTGTGAAAACATTGGTGAGAGACTCTGAAAGCACGTTAAAAACCTCTGTTCATTAAGTTACAATTTAATGGTGACTTATCAAGCGAGATTTTATTCCAAAGACTTTCCAGGAGTATAAGAAGAACGTTTTACGCAGCATGCCTATGTTTGTCATTCTCTAACCGACGAATGATTGGGACACAAATGAAGAATAAGCTTGATAGTTTTGCCACATCGATGTGCATTTATCAATCCAACTGCACCTGCGGTGGCAGTTATGTTGAGCGTACTACTAGACAGCTTAGCCAACCAACGTGTTAGTGAACATCTCCCATCGTGATGGTTTGGCAAAGGACAGACTAAAACAATCCGTAACTCAATTTTGTCACGTCTAGTCGACAGTGGCCATGTAGTGCAGAGAAGACGAGAGCTTTCAAAGTAATTTATCGTATCCCACCGAATCTTTCCAATAGACTTCGTATTCGTCTACTGTACACAGTTAAGGCAAGCGATAGGCATTCGAACTATCAAGCTCCGAAACTATGCATTCAAAAGAAGTTCGTACACACAGCCATTATCCCTCCCTTGCTGGCCTATTAAGACATAACCAAGTAATGACTTCTACACCACCCCTTGTTTATGTTTTCAACCCCTCTCTTCTCATCCCTTAATTTTATCACATCTTCATTAAAAACATGTTTAATTTACTTACTTTTAGAATTTAGCATTACTTAATCGGTTCATTTGTTTTTATTAGCCTTTATCGACTACTTCCACCTGAACATTTGTTTGTTAAATCATGTTGTTTTTCGTTATTCGTGTTATCACAGATTGCCTCACTTCTTCATCCCTAATATTGATAAGACCATTTTTATTATTATTACTATTATTATTATCATTACTGCTATTATGACTTATTGCACAATTTATATTCACCATCATATTATCCTATAGACAAAACACCATGATTGGTTTATATTTGAATATTTATTTCTAAAGTTATTAGAGTTAAAAGTCAATTTGAACGAAGAATATTCTTTTCAATAATTCCTCCTCTTCAGGTTCTTACAATTATAAAATATAATATTTATGGTCGTTAAAATAAAGGCCAGTTATGCGGTGGATAAATTTTTTACGTAGACAAACAGATTATTAGTTATAGCGTGTCAAAATAAATAGTCGTATTTGTGTGACAAACGCCGTGCTAATCGGCTGAAATCGATTAAAAAATATTGTAAAACAGGAGACAATGGTGGGGATTAATCATAATAGATTTCTGGATTGTGGGGTAGGAAAATTGACAAGTCAGTTCAAGGTTATAAAAGACGTCAGGTGAGTGAGTGAGTGGCTAATACAAAGTGGTCTGTGTTAAACAGGAGATAGTAAGACTGGAATGAAAGGTGGTTCATAATGAAATAACGAATGTGTGAAATGAAGAAACAGGTGGAGGCATATGTTGAGAAAAGAGATAATATCACCAATAATAAGTCCGTATAAATGAAGATTCGATAGTATTGAGGAAATGTTTGCATGAAGGTCATAAATTATGACGAATAATAGTAATAATAACAACTGTAATAATTAAGAGTTAAGCCTGATGAAATCTGACTGAAAGCACAATATTGTTCACGTAAAAATGTGTTGTTCTAAACAAAAGAAATCTAAAAACAGTATTAATAAGAATCAGTCGAATGAGTATTGATCTGATCAACTTTCAACCTTTTATCTTATTTTTGAGACCTACCAGACCTATAACAGTCATATTTAGTATCATTGGACCATAATAAAGAAACTTTCTGCATTGCACATGCCATATAAGGTACTTTTGTACAAAATCGATTTCTCATCGCCGACGATTTCGGATTACAATCCAGTTGAAATGATGTATTATCGTTTTTATGCAGTGGAATACACCGACAATATGAACAACCAAATCGAAAACAGGATTTATTGATTAAATATCCACGACATAGTTCTGATGACTGTACCCGTGAACAATCCGCTGTCGAAAGCATGTGATGAATTTCACTTTTTGACAAATCGGGATCACGGAAAGGTGGTATTAGTCTTCTTCTCATTATTATTGTTGTTGCTGTTGTTGTTATAGTTGGTAATATACTACTAATAACAAATGAATTAGTAATATGGTCGGCGAAGATAGAAAAGATGAGAAGTAACACTATAAAAAGTGGACAGAAAATCTTTGTTTGAAAAAAACTTTTAGATCAACTTACTTTTAATGAGTACAACTCGCATGAATGAGTGAAACAACAAAAAAGTGATGAAATAATCGAATAATATTTCCCCCTGTCTTTTTCTTTGGAATATATATATACCACAAATTTACTGAAATTGTTACACTGAAACGTAGCGAATCGTTTATAGGTGTTTATGATTTGTAGAGTGAGGCGAAACGTATACACATCGTGACTTTAGTGTACTTTGAGGGCAGTGGAATAGATTGTCTATTGCGTAGGCTGTGTATACATAAGCGAAGTGGGGAATGAAAATTTTCTTTCTATTAAGTAATCGATAAACATTGCCTGTTTTGTTAGTTTCCGTAAATTCCGAGTGAAACAAAGTGCTACAACAGTACTGTTTCTCTGATTATCTCGTCACATACTCTGTTCTATGTCACCTTCGGACCTACACCCAACTGTTCATTTCCTGTCCAAGTTCTAGAGGAGTATTGTCCCAGAGCGTGATGTTACTCAGTAATCCCTTCAGAGTGTGTCCAATCCATTTCCATATTCTTTGGTATATTTGCTAGACGATTGCTTCTCTACTGCTACTTTCTAGGAGTTCCTGGTGGGCCACTTGATCTATGGTATCAAGTCAGGGAAGACATCTGTTGCTAAAAGTCTTCCGCAAATGCATTTAGTGTCAGGCCAAGTCTGTGATTCACGTAGAAGCACTGACGAACTTAACGTTGTATAGTGTACCTTGAACCTTTGAACTTTTGTTTCAACGCAGTCACCCAATTTTGGCGCTATTTCATCTTTCGATTTGTGATTCGCCTGTACGTACTAGGTTCGCTGTCTCGTTAGGCTTTCATTCAGCGAACTCTTTAAGCTTACCACCAGTTGATAGCATCAGATAGCTTGTATAACGCCTTCATTTATTAAATTTGATATTTCATTTGTGTTAAAAATACAACTCCGTCCCAAACACACTTCACGTCTCAAGTCTTTTCACTTTGATTTCGTTCGTCAGTACTTACACGCTAGGTAGAGTACTGCTACGGTTAACAATAACAATAACAATTTCGCTTTATTCCAGAAACAGTACTTGTGGTACAGTGTGGAATTTTCAGCACATATCTACAATATTGCATCTAATTTCATCGTACATTTAAAAGGAGTATTATAAAAGAATAAAATATAAAAAAACACAACAAAAAACAAAAAAACACACACAGAAATAACAAAAAAATGCAAATAAAAATACCAAGTAAAAAGGAAGATCAACACAAATAATGAAAAAATATTTCAGTATTGGTTAGTGGAAGCTACGATATGTGTATGCGTGGTGAACAGTAACAGCTATAATCATACGGGAAATTATGAGATGTTCTTAAAAATGTTTATAGCCAAGATGATCAGTTAATTTGATTGAACAACACTAAGCAATCATAAGATAAACATTTCAGGTTGTGTTTTTTTATTGTCAGCACTAATGCGGTGTTTGTAGTGGTAGTGTGAGGAATCATGCATAATACAAAATTTTTAAGATGGTGATAGTGGCAATAACAAACAAGATTGTCAGTTAAATAGTGCCGAACAAAGAACAACCACAAAACTAATGTTACATGATGGTTAATGACGGGACAATTTTTAATAATCATAGTGATAATATAGTCGGACCCAGTAGATGTACAAAGAAGGAATAGAATAAAGAGTAAAAAAGTAAGCCAATGATAATAATTTTAAGCAGCTAAGTATGTTTAAGAAGGTTGTTCACTATAGAGTACAAATAAGAGAGTGTAAGGGGGAAATAACAAGGGCCAAAATTATGTTATTAACAACAAAGCAAGTCATAGGTTTCACGCTTAACATTGTCTCTGTCACTTAGAACACGGGCCAAATATGGTATCGTTGAGTTCCTATACTTGGTTGTACGAGCATATATTATTTTGTACTGATTTCTGGTTCTACCTGATGAGATGCAAGGAGAGAGTTGGGAATAGAGGGGGTGTTGGGGGTCAGAGAGTATGGTTTTAGACCATTTCTCACATGTATTCAGATGCTTATCCACTAATGTTGTGACGAGCTGACTGAGTTTTACACCGCTAGTCCTACTAACTACCTTCAACATCCTTCTCAGGATGGTATAATCCTTTTTCAGTAACCCAGGAAAGACTAACGGGGAACAGTAAAGTAGAATAGGTAGGATACGAGAGTTGACAAATTGTGTAAGCAGAGGTTGAGGGACTCCAGTTAGTCTGAGTTTCTTAATGTAGTAGGTTAGACGAAACACTTTCTTGGAAATCATTTGGATATGAGATGACCAAGTAAGGTCGGAAGATATAACTAATCCGAGGTATTTTGCATTAGACTTTGTTTCAATTATAGTCCCCTCAATTCTACAGACATCATGAGTGCTTACTAGTGTTTGTAGATCTCGTTTATGCCTAAAGGAGAAGTCGACAGTCTGGCATTTTGAGGGATTCAGCGTTAGGCCATTTATTTTAGACCACTGACTGATGTCCGACAGGAAGCTATTTAATTTGAAGCAGTCTGACTGAGACTTAACGGGAAGCGAAACAGTCAGGTCATCTGCATATTTGACGAAGTTGATTTCGTCTGAGAGAGGTAAGTCATGTAAGAAGAAGGAAAAGAGAAACGGCGAGAGAACAGCACCCTGAGGAACACCAGCTTCAGTAAGCAAAGGAGAGGAAGCTACACCATTATATACCGTGTACTGCATCCTATTGGAGAAGTAAGAGTGCAGCCAGTTGATAGCCCAGGACTCAGTTTGTGTAAGGCTAAGCTTGTTTAACAAAAGGCCTCTAGGTACAGAGTCAAAAGCAGATGTGTAATCAAGGAAAGTACAACGGACATACTTGGCCCCTTTGTCTAAGGAGGATACAATGTTGTGATGAAACACAGCAGCAGCATCCAAAGTACTTCTACCCTGTTTGTAAGCAAACTGCTTTGGATCGTTTGAGAAGCTTAGGGAGGGAATGAGTTTTTGTAACAGTAATTTCTCCATCAGTTTCAAAAAAGGAGAGGTAATGGCAATTGGTCTAAACTTAACACTATCTCCAGAACCAGACTTGGGTACAGGGATGATTTTAATATCTTTCCACAGAGAAGGTACATTATTATTAGAAAAAGAAGTATTGAAAATGCTTGTAAGTGGGTTACTTAAAATATCAGCACATTTCTTTAAAACAATGGCAGGTATACCATCAGGGCCTAGACTCTGGGAAGGTTTAAGAGATTTCAAACATTTAAGAACATCAGAAGTATTGAAACGATGAAAGTCACTGGTCGTGTTATTAGTTAAATTGAAGGCAGAAAGGACATTTGGAGGGCGGATGAAAGATCTATTGAGAGTATTTACATCAATAGAAGAGGCAAAATTATTATGCTTACCACAACCAGTAATTTCTCTAAAAAGCTTCCATATGTTTTCTGAGGTTTTACAAGATAGTATTGTTTGATTATAAATGTTGTTTAGTCTCTTGATTTCAGATTTAATTTGGGTGTTTATCTTCTTAAGACCAGATTTATTCTTTGTCTTGTACAGCTTCTCTTTTTCTCTACGAAGTTTTTTGAGATGAGGGGAAGAAAAACGATCCATTCTTTTGAAAATTATCTGTTTTGGACAGCATATATCAAGACAGAATTTAAGATAGTCAGTCAAATTGGAAATAGTATCATCCAGTTTGTGTTCGTTGAAAAGTTCCCAGTTAGTGTCATTTAGCATACATCTTAGTTTGAGCATATTTTCTTGTGAGTAACACCTTTGCTGTGTTTTCTTGGACAGATTTGAGAAGATATTAAAGTGAGATCTGCTGTATATCTTAGGTAATATCCGAATAATACAATGATCTGAGTTCATGATAGGAGCACGTCGGCGTACTTCATATATTTCCTCATCATTAATGAACACCAGGTCAAGGGTTTTATCAAGTCGAGTAGGGAATTTAACAATATTGGCATGACCTAATGATACGAGGAAAGAACAATCACAGCAGTTAAAATCTCCTGTGACAACTGATAAAGAGTTTTCAAGATGTGTAACGGCGAATTCAGTGAATTCATCAGCAAAATCAGATAGATCAGATGCAGAACAGCCAGGAGTAACATAAATGTTAGAGATGAAGACGTATTTAAACTTGGATAAGTGTTTCGGGCGGCATTTGACCGTTATACAATCAATAAAGTCATTAGAGTAAGAAAAACATACGTTATTTGAAGTTGACCATTGAGAAGTATTTAGTAAGTGTGGTTATTATATGTCTGTCTTAAGTTTAAACTAACATTTACACGTTAATCCTGGAAATCCGAATCTTGCCTACTGAGCTAAATACAGGATTGATCCACACTGATTTCAGATAAATCACTGTCTGTATTCCCTCTCAAATCCTCCATAAAATCACCGTAAATTCCCATCGAGTTATTAATGAAAGTAAAAGACAACTCAACGAAGAAAATTTTCTTTTCGATGAAGTCACCATCATCTAGGCTGTACATTCCTGTGTGTATTTATATTAAAGGTGTGAGAAAGTTCCAGAATTATCCCCCGTCAAAGGTCTAATCAATAAAATTACAATCTGTAATAATCAGGAAGGTAGGGTAGGAAAGATATAATAAGATATCATTACTCAGAAGTGGCCTCGGAAATGACAATATAAGTTGTAAATCACGTCGTACTCAATGGCACAAAGTAAGAAACGGTTAGAAGTTTGATAAGGTTAATATTGTTATTGATTGGGAAGAAGGGCAGTTAAGTGTCCATTTAACAAGTGTGGAGAGGATGAGAAAGTGTACAAAAGGAACCCGTGAGAGTGATAATAGTGAGTTAACTATTAAAGTAAAAGTAAATTAATCATTCAAAATAAAAATAAAAA